CCACTCGTATTGGTCTAGTCGAAGATTTGTGTTTTAAACTTAATAATCATTTGTCTGCAATATCGCAGTGGACTAGTAATAACTGCCTGTGTCTAAATGCCTCTAAGTCCTTTGTGTTGCCAATATGTAACAGTGTAGTATATGTTGAGGATATTCCGAAATTAGTTGTTGGTAGTAGTGCTCTTAAGTTTATAGATAATACTAAAAACTTGAGCTATGTAATAAACTGTAAACTAACGTGTTCCGATCATTTTAATAGTGTTGTGAGCAATGTTTATGCCATCTTACGAAGATTGAGAGTTACAGTTGCATTTACTCCAATGGAAACAAAACGCAAGTTGGCAAGACAACTCATTATACCCCATATAACGTATTCTGAGCCCGTATATAGTAAGTTTGATTCAATTTCCTCTCACAAAATCAATGTTTAATTTAACAATGTTACGCGCTATGTGTATGGTCTGAAGAAGTTCAGCCCCATATCTCTATGGAAAAATAAGATTTTGTGGTGCAGTATCACAAATTATATTGCTGCTAGGAACTGTATATTTATTTTTAAGCTTTTAGAATGAAAAACGCCAAAATAACATACCGAAGCTATTATAATAAGTACAACACAGCAATTTCTTCAGTGCATTTCCAGCAATACTTCACGGTACCCAGGAAACAATTTCAACCCTCAAGTTGCTTCCCTGCGCTGATTCCTGTTGAAACTTGTTTGCGGCACCTCACTGACCATTATCAAAAAAAAAATAAATAAAATATTAAAATCTATCGGTTGCTTTTTTCTAATGGTAACTTTTATTAATACAAAGAGTCTACAATTTACAAAGTTGGTCTTTTAATTCTGGTTTCAGTAATTATATTTGAAAGTTCCAAGATTAAATGATTACGTGTGATTGCTATTGTAGTCACATACAGTTCTTAGGTGTTTTTCTGCCTATTTCTACCTCCTGTCATCTATTTTATAACACCGTGCACCGATATACATACTTACAAAATTATGGCCAAATATCGTAAAACTGCGTTTTTAGTTTTTCACTCTGACGTCAGATTTTTTTTCAAAGGACTTTGAAATTTTAAAGATATGATAAATTCAAAAAGGTATTTAAAAAATTCAGTGCAATGTAGAATAAGAATGTAGGTACCAAATGAGAGAGAACGCAGTTTTACTATAATTTACCCAAATTTTCGCGAATATATTCATCTTTTTGTGTGTAAAATTTACTGTCACACGTTGAAATTAGCCCGGGAAATCAATATGAACAGCTTCCATAGCTTTATCGCTAGGAGTAACACTAATGGCGTTTTCTTTTCTACTGCGCCTTCTCAGTGCCCTCTACGTACAAATACTAAAGAGAGGACAATGAAAAGGCTACATGTTTTGTAGAAAAGAAAACGCAATTATATTAAAATCTTTGTAGCTACTTTCCAATAAATGTATTTTTTCATAATAATTCGCGTGAGGACTAAATATCGTAGAATTTAGCACACAGGAACGCTTGTCCCTACACCAGCAACAACAGCGACTACAGCAGCGTCATCAACACGCCTAAAGTTCTGAACACATTGAAAACGACGAGCTACCGACCACAGCTTCCAATTTGTCATCTTTATTATCTAAGCGCTTTGTCGATGGCGACATGATTTCTTTGAACGCGGCAGCGACATCATGAATTTGTATGAGTTTGACATAAAAGAAGAGGAAGAACCTTATCTGTCGCCAGAGAAATAGAAATAGATCTAATCTGGCCACAACCACAGCCGTCGCGTAGCCCGGTCGTCGCCAATATAATTATCTACATAAGAGTACGTGTTAAAATAATTTGACAGCTGTGGTTTGTAGCTCGTCGTTTTCATTGTGTTCGGGCTATAACTAACACAAGAAACCATATCAACAGCGTTGCCAAAAGAGTATTTTTTTGGTTTTGCGGGAATTGTGAACAAAAAAGGGATGGCGGGAATAATGATCGTGAAAACGGAGAAAATCATATACGCCGTACTCATGAATATTATAAAAATACTATTAGGCTGAAATAGTGTGCGACACATTCCTGGAAAAGCTGTATGGAATTTAAAGTTTAGTTACACGTAGAATCTCGTCATTATTTTTTTAAGGACAATCTTCCACAATATTTGTAGTAGCACTAAATTATTGTTCCGGTTCAGTTTTACTAAGCGAAATGTTAAGCGAATATAACTCAGCGGCATCGCTTCGTCGGACGAAATTTACTCAGCGAACTAGTTCTGTTTATACTTTAATAGTTTTTTCAGGAGCTCTCCAGTTTCTCTTTAAAACCAGGAAAAGCATGTTATTTCTTAGAACTCCGCACCCCACGGAAATGACGTCAATCACTACATCGTGAGGCAGAAAGAAAGTTAGTCGACGCTGCTATGCCGTAGCCATTCAGGGGTCCTTAAAGCTCTGTTATGCATACTTGGCAGTGCATGCACTGCTGTACCATTTTTACGTAGAAATGAAAAACCAACAGACTTCTACGTATGTAATGCTGTGCGTTGGGTAACCGTTTACACGCGAAACTCATTTAACAGATTCCTTATGTGACAAGTCTCAAGCAATGCCAAGTATGCATAACAGAGCCTTTAGCCCCTTCACCGCCTCTGCTATTGCGTCACATGCTGCCAACCATGTAGCAGCCTCCACGAGTGACTCAGGCATGAAACTCTCGCCAGATATGTATGTTACGAAGTTTGCATCTGTCGCTGTCAAACAGTGTGACCGCGGGCTTATGAAAAATTGTAGCATTTAAGTATCAAAACATATGGAATAAAACCAATAATTTTTATGAAAAACCATTTTCCAAAGCAGTCTGGTAAACTATGTATGTTTATCAACAGCTGATTCGAAGCGTTTTTCCTAAAAAAAAAAAAAAATAAATAAATTGTAACCAAAGATTGAAGGAATCTTATTTACTTAAACACGTTATGCCTTTTGGCAGCGGGCGGATTCAAAATTGGATGACTATCGTACAGCTGATTGCAATTTACCAACTAACAGAAAAATTGTCAAGCTTCCACCACGATAATTCGGTAACCGGTAAACCGATACTAAAATAATTTTACACAAACAAAATACAAATTTACCGCAACACTCCCCAGGCAAACACCGATCGCCTACCAACTGTCATTTTGACGAGGAATATGATTGGAAGTTTTAGTGTGTGGGCACTTTGATGTCTTGATATGTATAAGCATTTGCCGCATGACGCAGCGCCGTTGATCTTCCATATAATCTGAAGCTATGACCACAGTTGGCGTGAGCTTTTTCTTAAACTGCTTCTTCTTCGGGTCGTTTGATAACGCCTCAGGCCAGAAAAGAGCGTTTTGGAATGGTGTTGCAAGTTCAGCCTTCTTTATTTCTGTATTTTCCATATCTTTAGCAGTTGGGCTATCTAGAGCCAATTGTTAAGTGGCACTAGACTATCAATCAACCTGTTATTTTCCTTCTGATAAGTAGTTGCTGTATTGTCTGTTATAGCATTATTTTGTATTGCTTTAAAGATGAATTTACTGCTTGATGTACATAGGATTGCGTGTCCATTATGTTACGTACATAGGCTGCAGTAAGTGCGTTGAATTTGGAAGAAGCGCAATTAAAATAATGCCGTGTTCCTTATAAAATTCGCTGAGAGGTAGAGATATATGTGATACGTGCCCATCCAAAAATAAAACCACTGGAAGTTGTGCGTTCATTCTCAGCAGGAAAGGATGAAACACATTTGCGATATATTCAAAAAACGTTTCGCTGGTCTTCCAGCTTGAGTCAAGTTTACCAATGGCCCAGTTCTTAGGGTATTTCGCAAGAATATTTTGAGGAAAGCGCTTATAAGGGAAAATAGCGAACGTAGGCATTATTTTTCCATCAGAAGATGCGCCTACAGATATTTGTCATCATTTCCTGACCTGAAGTAGACGTACTTAGCACCGCGTTTGGTCAACAATGCATGCCCTTTGGAGCACAGAAAAAATGCGGACTCATCACTCATTACTTTCAGACAGTTGTTGTCCTTCATATAAGTACTTACTCTCTCAAACCAAGCCCTTATGGAAGAATCCGTGTCCAAAGCTTGAAAAACTGTTAA